TCTCTCTCTAGACAATTTTAAAGTGAAAAAATGCCTCCTGATTGCATTCTGTTTTCCAAAATCCATATCAAATCAAACCTTTACCAGCAAAGTCGGTACGCATCAATCCTCTCCTACACATTTAAATTAATTCTACTTTTATCATCTGTCTTTTTTGTTGACAGAATAGCTTTGAAAGAACATTTTAAAGATATAAAAATGCTTTACCAGGAAAGACAATGCTTAATTTGACTAATAAGAAGTGGTATCATTCAAAAAATGAAATGAGTGAAACTAATAACGGACAATCAGAAACAATTTGCCTCAGTTTAATTTATCATGAGCATAGAATAAAAGGCCTAATGTTATGTAACATTAAAGACACAATAACCACAAACAATGTTTCCTTTTTTCCCCTCTAAATTTAGTTTTCACATTTAGGTTATACTTAAACCTTAAGTAGTTTGATCTCATTCCTGACCTAACAAAACACAGAGGAGAATTAGCTTTATCATTCTGCCCTCTAGAGGTTATAAATGGGCTTACACATAAAGAAGGGAGCTGTCTGATATAACCAAGGTTCAGTCTTTGCTTACATGTCAAGGTGGTCTTAAAAAGGCTTAAGCCGTCCTCTCCCTGTCAAAAGTTAAATATACAAAATGAAGTGATTTTTTTGGACTGGACAATAAAAATATGATGGACACCTAACCAATATAAATGGGAAATAGGTTTCACAGAAAGATCCTGTCTGTGTAAGTTCTCAGTCATTCCAGACATTGCAAACACAAAACATGTTCAAATTGCTTTGCTAACACTGTTTTTAGTGGGTACCTACTGACCCTAAATGAGGCCTTTGTCAGACGGTGTAGGGGATAATCTAAGGATCTCCTCAACCGGACTGACACATTCTCTGTAGCGGAAGAAGAATCAGAGTGTTCAGGGCTGCTTTCGTTTAACAACAAAGCTGAAGTCACCTAGATGGTCGAAGAACTCCGTGGTGGTAAGGCTGAGGGGTGGATGAGATCTGCCTTGAGGACAATCCAACTTATTGTCGACCCTCGGCCTCAAGAGGAGGAGTGTGTTTTTTTTTGTCCCCGCCACTAAACGACTAACCTGCTCTACACCCTTGGCAGGGTACTCAAGGGTTCAATTGGAGTTTGCTCAACTGAACTAAATGTATTTTGTGGACTTGACGAAAGCATTTGTCCCTTGTGGTGCCTTGTGGGGCCACCCCAGGAGTATGTAGTAGTGGGGCCCTTTACTATGGACCATCCAGTCGATATATAATAAATAAATACATTATATTCTGACCAGAATTAAATCTATCTTTAATCTTTTTATCTCATCTTTTTATAATACTAAAATTATTTTATGTATTTTATTAAAAGACCCATTGAGAGAGAAAAAAATGCAACATAAACAGTGTTGATAGGAAATAAAGGAAGTAGTTTTTGTATGACTCCCCTATTTATATCATGCAGTGTGTCTCTCTAGCACAGTAATACACTGCTGTGTCCTCAGTCTTCAGATTGTTCATCTGCAGATAGACTTTACTGCTAGAGTCATCTCTTGAGATGGTGAATCTGCCTTGAACAGACTGGGAGTAAAAGAAATGAGAACTTCCAGTGTGCACAAAAGCAATCCATTCCAGGCCTTTTCCAGGAGCCTGTCTGACCCAGTTCATGGGATAGCTGCTGAATGTAAATCCAGAGCCTGTACAGGTCAGTCTGTGGGATTCTCCAGGTTTTTTAACTACTGGTTCAGACTCAGTCAGAGTCTGACCAGAAACACCTGCAAAAAGCAAAAATGTGAGGAATGAATGAGATATAAGAAAAGTTTAGTAAAGATACATTAATATATTCACCTGCCCAGCAGATGGTGATCAGCAGTAGTCCTGTCCTACAGCACAACATGTTTATTGTGTCTTTGCTGTTTTCTTCTGCCAATAAATAGAGCAGGAAGAGACATGTGTTACATGAACTCCTCCTCAAAATAAAACCACAGCTGCTTCTGATTTAGATATGTTTGAATATTCAGAAGTAATAATTTGGCAAGATTTAATTAGTGACAGATTTTATATTATAAAACTATATGATATTTTAAGATGTGTTTTATGTTTTTTTAATATTTTGGAACCCAAAGGAATTTTTAATCATTTCAGGGAAACAAAGAAAAAAACATCATATTTGTTCACAGTCACTGCGATTTCTTCCGATATGCATCAAAGAAGAGACATGTCATAAGGAGGCTGTCTAAAGGTGGAATTTATACTTCAATTGTGGACTATTTTGTCAGAAACCTCACTTTTATATGATTACATTTTATTCAAATTTATTACATTAAATTAAGGCTCACAGTCATATCCTTTATAATGATTTCATTCTGCAAAGCAGATCAATTCTAATATTACGCTAGGCAACGAAAGATTGGATAAAATGAATGCAAATTTTATTGTGTAAATCCTGATGATTAGTTTATGTAAACAGTAATTTAGAGAAGTATTACCCCAATTAGGTTGGTTGTGTTTGAACCGTTCAGATAACATTTTATAGAACTTAACTTTTTTTTGGCATTGCTTCAATGGTCTCGTGGTGCTCTTGTGGTGCCCTGTTGTCAAAAGTCTTGAATCAGTGAGGAGTTTTTGCAACGTGTGTCTATTTTCTCTGGTATGGGCCTAAAGCACAGTAACAAACAAAATGATCCTGATTTGCAAGCTATTTATTGGGAGATAAACCGGTTTGTTTATTTTTTCTTTGTCTCCTAACAGTCTGTAGGATTGTCAAGATAGGCTGGTTTATAATCAATCAGTGTCTGATAAAAATAAATGGGAAATGTCTCTTGTGAAAAAGAGTACTTTTGACATGATACCATGGTAATATTAGAGTCGTGTTTCTAACACATCTCTTTTTGTCCTGCTATTTAATTAAACATGACCATACACGAGGCACGGTCATGTTTGTAGTGCTTTAAGAAAAAGCCCAATTAAAATATTATAATTAGTATTATCATTATTATTTTTTCGACGTATATATTTTTCTCTATTTCGATGTCTTTGAATCTCATCTTTATTTTAAGGCCACTCTCAACCTGCCTTTAGAACTTTGCAGAAGGCCATTAACACTGAGCCTGGTTCTGTTTGAGGATTCTCCCTGTTGTCAGGTAGAAATCCTCTCCTTTGTAGCTCTATGCATGCATGGTGTGAAGAATTGCTTCAAAGTCAGTGACACAATGCAAGTGACTCTCCAAACTCCACAAAATCAATGACTGGATGTAATACATCATGTTTCCTTAGACAGAAAGCTTTTAACAAACATGTCTGTATTATTTTATTTATAATACTTAGAAACACACAGTAATTTAACATACAGTTCAATAGCTTGAAAAAGTTTGTGTGAAAGGAAGAAAGGGCTGGCTGAGGTTAACCAAAACCTTCTCTGCTGATGTGAAACTTTGCTGCTTTTTGGTTTCAGTCAGATTTACATCTCCAACCTTAACTTCCTGTAGAAACATGGTTTCAACTGATGAAACCGTTGTGCTAAAGAAATTAGATGTGACTTTTCATCTGCAATATCCCTTCATCATCTCTTTCAAATGCTAAAACAAAATCCTTTACATTAGCAAAGTAAATAATACAATAATGGCTGCAGGACATTATTTTAGTTTTAAAAAACATATTGTTAAGGCATATTAAAAAGTGCATAAAAGCATTAAAATTATCAGACAAAAGAAAACAATCTTTATAAATACAGAAACTTAGCTAAAGGCCCATTTTAGTTGTCTTTCAAAAACTGTCCAACCGTAAAAGGTAAAAGATAAAATGGAGTGGAACTCAATGGGAAGAGTGCACACCATACTACTGCTCTGAAAAGGTAAAACTCGAAGCTATTTTAATATTTAAAATAAATGAAAAATGTAAATAAAAAAAAGCTCAAAATGCTTGCGGAAGACACCAAATAAATATATATATATATATATATATATATATATATATATATATATATATATATATATATATATATATATATATTTAAAGGAGTAAAGAGGCTTTGAGGACTTTTCAAAACTATTGTATACACTATTTCCATAAACAAATCTCAAAAAGGTATATCCGTAAAATAAAAATCTTCGGAATGGTTGTCTATGACTATTAAACTACATGGATATAAATTTAAATATTTAAAATGAGTTTATCTTGCAAAGGTGTCTTGATTATTATTTATTTTATTAAATTTTATTACGTGAATTGAGACACAAACATGTTTAATATGAAATTAAAACTTACTGAATTCAAAGATTGAACCATATATTTTTTCAGAGACAAATTGCATAATATACATAAACCAAAGAAAATGTATTTCTGTACAGAGGTGAAAAAATTCATTACATGAATTGGCCTTTATTTATCTTTGTATTGGTTGGTTTGCCTGCAAGATTTTTAAATCTTATCAAAATATAAACAAATCTTGGAAGAAGAATCTCAGATTTGAAATCTGTCTCTTTTTGATCCTCAGAAGAGCAGACCTCTGATGGTGAGGACGGTGCTGAAGGCCAGAGCTTTGGTGAAAACCACCCGGACTCCGTTCATCAGCAGCAGGTAGAAGTTCAGCTTGGCTTTTTCTGGAGGGCAAATAAACAGAGCTCAGACTAAACATTAAGACCTGAATACAAGGATCAGTGATGAAAACAGACTGAGATAGAAAGTGTTCAGTTTTACCTGGATAAATGCTTCTACATGCATAATCTGTTAGGACACAGAAAGAACATCAGTCACATAATAATTGCTCAAACTCTGATGGACATTTTTTATATGTCTGTGGAAACGTGTGATGAAAACAAGAGCTTTATACCCTAATTATTACTGTATATATTTTAGGGCTTTTTCTGAATAGCAGAAAAAAAAAATATGTTCAAAAAATTATTTTATCATAGAAAGATGTTTAAGCAGGTGGCAGTTTCATCTCTATGAAATCAAAAGTTTAATCAGAACTATAGACAGAACTTTAATAGTTTGTTTCCAGCTTCGTTGTTGCTGAACTTTCCGTTCATGTCACAGGAGTGGATGGTTTCATTGCTGTAGGCAACAAACACGTAGGTGTTGTTTGACAGAACAGCTTTATCTGTGCTGACGTTGACCTGACCACCTTTCACATTCAGATTTACGTCGTCCCCCTTCGGACGGAAATCTGTGACCAGACAGACATCTGGACCAAGTTCATCTGCTGTCTTCGGGGGGTAGCGAGAATCCTTCAGGGGACTCAAAATAGACAAAATCGGAGGGACATTAGGGCCGCCTGTGACGACAAGAAGACAACAACATTTAATTTGGAAAAAGAGATGTTCAGTTAAACAGGAAATGAGTTGCCAAATAAAATTAATATTTTCTGTCCATAAGACATTCCAGCATTTGTGTTAATTATTGACTAAATAATTTTGAAATAGTAAAAAAAAATGTTTATGACAGTATACTGTATACAGGTTGTACGGATAAAGGTTGACTTTACTGAGGATGTTTGTTTTACACAGTCTCATCTTTCCAAAAAAAAAAAAATAAACTTGATCTCACTTCATAAATTGAGAGGTATGCAAAATGCAGAAGATTCAAGACCAAGCCATTTTACTGTGGTTAAACATGTTAAATCTAATAATTTTTTTCTTTATTGTCCTATAAAAAATGCACCCTCAGGTTTATGATAGAGCTAATCACTTCATAAAATAATATTTTTACTGCAATAAATTCCAATGCGACGCATTATATATACTTTAACTATTAGCTATGTAACTCTGTCTCTGCTGGACTTTTTATAAATCTATATACCTCTGAGTTTAATATTCATACACTTCCTCTAAGTTTTGAATATTACAAACATTTTCATAAACTGAAAAGTATTCAAAAGCCAAATGGTTTAGCATGAATTGGCATTAAATTAAATTGTCAAAATAAAATGTGTTTTATTCAGTTTTTTTTTAAAAGTTGTACCTGATTTTGGGAAATATATACTATTTTTTATGTTACTCATTAAGTAAAGCTTCTACTCTAAGAAGTTATAAAATCTTCACACTTCAGCTGTGCTATCAGATTTATACTATACATTGTTTCTCAAAAGTAAAGCAAATACGGACATTTCACTTTCTTCTACACCCTTAGTTTCAGCAGCTGGATCACAACTTCCACTAATTTCTGTTCTTCCTTCTGTTACAGTCTCAAACAAAAAAACTTATTTACACCTTATTGTTTTCCATAACATTATTTTTCTGTAAGGCTTCAGTCAGAAAAAGAAAACATCAGTTTTCAGTTTTCTAAGCCCACTTCATTGTTGCAAATATGAGCTGAAAAAAAATCTAGCATCTGCTGGATTTATTTAATCATTTTACTTTAACATTGTTGTTTCTTGTCTCAACCAGAACATGATAATATAGTTTAGATGCTATGATTACAAAAAAAAAAAAAAACTAAGTGCATGTATTCCATCTATGTTAGCGTATCTTGTTTATTGTTTCATCTACTTGGAAAATTCACAATATAAGAAAAATGTGTATGAAAATGTTCAATTTAACTTACATTTAATTTAACTATTAAAACTGAATTAAAGTTTTATTTTACTGGTGACAGGAGGTACCCTAATATTAAAAATTTTGCACAGAATTTGCTGCTGGTTCACCTGGGACCTATGCTTGATGCACACAGGCATATTCTCCTCACCCATCTGCAGTATGCTAAATTTTAGATCTGAATGTGTACATTTTAAAAAAGTCAGTGGAACAGAATATTTCAGGACAAATACATTTCACACAACATAGCAGCCAAAATTCAAGGTCCATATTCAAACTCCAGCAAATAGATAGAGCTCACAGAGTGGGGAGACAACTTTACTAATTCCTTAGATTGCAGCTCCATAACTTTTTAGGTTACCTTTTACATAAAACTTCACCCAAGAGCTTAAATTGATCAACTAGTTTTGGAGGGAAATGATTGAGTTGTGTTGTGGTGAAATAATACAAAACAATCTAAATTACTACTAAAGCAAAGGTTGGTGTGCAACCAATGTCCACTATTAAATTTAGAAGCTCAAACACTTTTTTTTGTGGAGTGAAACAAGGATAGGAAGTTAAGCTTTAAGCTAGAACCTTTCAGAATAGGAGGTTTAAATATAAATAAGGATCATGCATAATGTTGTTTCAGGAAGGCTTAACACCTAAACTTTATGGACTTGATTCAGTTTTTATGTTTTTTCTCAACAACAAAGAAAACGTTCATTTGCTAATAAATATTGTCAAAAAGAGCATTGATTGCAGTTAACTTCTTTTCAAAGAACGGCAATGAAACAACGAAGGCAGCTGCACCAATTTTTTCCCTTAAAAAATTCCTTCGATTATCACTGATATTTTAGAATAAAATATTAAGACATCTCTATTTCTTTTTCTAAATAAATACAAAATATGAAATACCCACTATATCATTAGTGATTCAAAGCGGCATGAGCTCATTTAGTTATTCAGTATTGATATATATTTTCCATCTACTTCCCATTATTTATTAGCTCAATTTCAACTTACTTTTTCACACTGTTATGCTTTAAAAAACTTTTGACAGATATTGTTTTGTTTTGATCAGACAAAACAATATTCATATACATTTAGTACAGATTCCAGCTGTCAACAAGTTTTCATTATTCGCTGCACTGTGATCTGGTCCAAACTAAGCAATAAATACAGTCAGAGAGGAAAACTAAAATAAAATGAAATTTATTATATTGCATGATGCCGCATTTTATGAGTTTTTTTTATTTTAACAGTTAGTTTTAGCATTATACTATAAACATAACTAACTATAGAATCAACTATAAATCCAATTTTTGCATAAAAATATTTTAAAGGAAAAGCAGGAGAAGCAGCATTTAAATAATATATTTTATTTTCTTACCTGGAACAACAGTAACCTTAGTTCCATCTCCCCAGTAGTCAAAAGCACCATCACAGTGTTACATCTCTAATGACTTCATTAACAAAAACCTGAAAACACCAAAGCAGCAGCAAGAAAAATCTAATCATTTGTGTAACAAACAAACATAGATCAAATATCTTGAATTTATCTAGAATAAGTCTTAGTGAGCCTGGTATAGTTTTGAAATAGTTTTAATATAAAGTTGTTGATTCTAAATCAGATTTTTAAATGAAGGTTCACTCACAATCATTTTCTCAGTATAACTAATTTAATCATCTTATTGTGTAACTTCTCAAATCAGTATAGATGCATATAACACTTACCTGATGTTCTTCAAATAAACATGGTTTTCTATCAGTTTTTCTCTGCATACTGAAGGATTATTTTCTCAGGTTTCTATTCTGAGGTTTTTGTATTGGTGTATATCTGTGTGCCACCCCAGTATATCACAGTAAAAAACCTTAGTACTAAAACCTACTCCACCCTCAGATGGGAAGGTGAAAGCAAAAATAAAAGAAACACAACAGTTAATGAAGTTGATTTACTTATTCCGATATGTTTATCATTTTAGCATTAAATATATATATAAAAAACAAGATTTACTATATTGGTTTTTCAAGCTCTATGGTTTAAAATTCTTATTTAACCAAAATTAAATAAAGATTTTTTTTGGTATTTTAATTTCTTAAAAAAGAAACAAGATAATCAACAGAATTTTTAATAACAATAATGTCATTAATATTTCATATTTAAGGTTCACTAAATCTGCTCTTCAATATTCCACTGGTTACCATTTTTTCAGTCCACTTCAAAGTGAATTGTCGGTCTATTCCAAAAATGTCCATCTACAATCTGTACATAAATATGTTGTAAGACACAGTTCATAAACATGTTATAGAAAGAAATATAAACAAGCGATTCTTCTTTTTTTGCATGCAGAACATTTTTAATGAAAGACGGTGATTTTTAGCACACAAGTGTAACCTAGACAAACAGTAGAGGTAGCTACTGCAGGAAGAGTTTGCTGACAGATAAGTAAAAGCTAAAACTTTAACATAAACATAAACTAATATGCAAATAATTAAGGAAGGCTGAAAAGTTTGAACCTAACACCACATGGTATTAGATTGAATATATCATATATATATATATATATATATAGATATATATATATATAATTATTTGCACATATAGTAGTATAGTATATAATGTAATATATAATATATATATAATGTGCACATTTTATATATATATATATATATATATACACAGAGAAAAGGTGCATTACAAAACTTTTATTCAATTAAGTTTATTTATAGAACACCAATCCACAACACGTGCCCCCCTGAGGTAATCCACAAAGACCACCCAACCAGATTTTTTTCAGATTGATCAAAAGTTTTCTATCTGAGGAAAAAATAAGGGCAAAGAGTAAAGTAACTTTATATTCCATTGAGTGAGGATGATTCTGTTCCATGTGCACACTGCCACTATGTGTTTAATGTCTGAACAGTTCCTGTTGAGTTTTTGTTCAGCCTATCCACCCACTTTGATCACTGTGCTTTTCTGGCACAGTAATACAAAGCAGAATCTTCTGGTCCTAAATTGGACAGTTTCAGATACAACATGCTGTTGCTGTTGTCTCTGGTGATCTCTATTCTACCTTGAAAAGTACTGGAATAATCTGTGTTGCTTCCATCTGTATATATATATCCCATCCATTCAAGTGCTTTTCCTGCAGGTTGTTTGACCCAGCTCATGCCAAAAGAACCGAAGGTGAACCCAGAACCTCTGCAGGACAAACTCAAAGTCTCTCCAGGCTTTTTCACCACTGGACTGGAAGGAATGGATTCCATACTCTGACCTGTACAACCTGGAATAAAGAAAATAATGTGCAGTTTATTATACAATTTAACTACAATGGTGGGTCAATAAACTAAACAAGTAGAATATCTTACATGACAGAGAGATAACAAGCAACAAAAGACTAATTGCGTTCATTATCCTAACACAATAGTCCTATCTGCAAATGAAACAATAATTCTGGGGGACAGAAATACCTTGAGGAGAGAACTGATTTGCATTAGAGGGAGGATCAAACAGCCCAGCCCACAAATGTGCACAAATTTGTTTTTGGTGCTTCTTCTTTTACTAAAATGAGAAAAACATTTTCCACCATTGCAGATGATGTGGTTCTATTTGCTTCATCAGGGAGTGACCTACAGCTCTCACTGGAGTGGTTCGCAGCCGAGTGTGAAGCGGCCGGGATGAAGATCAGTGCCTACAAATCCGAGACCATGGTCTTGAGCCGGAAAAGGGTAGAGTGACTTCCCCAGGTTGGGGA